AACACTCACACGGGGGTCCAAATCTTTTTCCATGACCAACTGAACCACTTCATCAAAACCCAGTCACTTTTACCAGAAGGCAATAGACCTCTTACTAGATTTGAGCTTTTATGCACCACCCACCCACCAAAGGTAAAAACGCTTTCCACCCTACACTCAATAATTAGAGAGGCATACGCACAAAATCTCCCTAACTTCACTCTAAGGTGGACAGATGAACTGCAAACTAACTTCACTATCCAACAATAGAAGAACGCCTTTATTTCCATCCATAAATCCTCTATCTCAACGTACGCACAAGAATGTAATTACAAAAAAGTAACCCGCAGGCACAATATGCCCGCTAAACTTCACAAATTCTACCACTCATCTCCAGATCTCTGCTGGAGATGTAATACTTCAAATGCTCACCACACCCACATCTGGTGGCAATGCCCAATGATTCATAAATTTTGGAGGAGGATTCACATAATCATACAACTAATATTTCATAAGACTTTCTCATGTATCCCGGAATATTATATCTTTTTCCTACCACCCCACAAACTCATGGCACTAGAGACAGACCTGTTTAGTCACCTAGTCATGGCGGCTTCCCAACTAATCCCTAAATATTGGAAACAACCCAAACCACCTTCAATTCGAGAATGGATACTGAGAGTTGACGATATTAAATTGATGGAAGAAATCACCTTAGCTAAAGTAGGGAGACATGTTAAATTATTGTCCATATGGGATCCATGGATTAAACACAAACACTGCAAACCTCCCCTATCACAGTAGACTAATCTAACACATACCTTTATCCACATCGAAAATACAAGCTCTATTCATATACCTCTGCTTCTTCCACCACCACTACCACTGCTGCTTTCTCCTCCTCTCCCTCCTCCCCTGTTGAGGTGGGAATGGGTTGAAAGTAACCAATTGACAAGACACATTTAACCGTCACTACACACCACCCCTACCTCTATACCCCCGTTTTTTTCCTACTATTCAATAGTTCCCCGCTGAGCCTTGGTTTTCCAACCCATTGAGGGGAGTTATCCCTTTATCTACACATGAAGCGCACCGGTGTATACCAGGACACATGGTATTGAACTAATGTATTGTTTCTTTTCAATTATCTATTGCTACAGTATTTTACTTGTTATGTTATCTTCTCTCAGAAGTTTCATCTACCAAAATATTTGTGATGACTCTAATACAAACTGTACCTGACGTTCTGTGAAGTTTTAGTACTGTTTAAAATAGTGAAATACCGAAACTGTAATCTCAATGTAATCTTGCTGTACCAAAGCTTATGTTTAACTATGTAAAACGTACAAAACAATAAAAAGATTTAAAAAAAAAAAAAACAATAATAAAAGTCAAAACTATAAGACAGAGGACATAGGAGCATGCTAGTGGGCTACTAAGTCAACAGAAAGTAACTAGTGTAGTATATTGGGTTCATATAGAAAAAAATTAAGATATGCAGCAAAGCAGAAATGCTAGTGAACATAGATTTAAAGTCAAAATTGAGCTTCCTAGATGTCAGATAGAAGGCAAGTAGTAACAAAGTATAAATCCAAACACAGAATCCAGGTGTTATAGGAATGACACAACATGTTGTAAGAGGGTAAGTGGAATGGCAGGGCAGGGCTGGTGCTTCCATTAGGCCAATCTAGTGCACTTTCCAAGAGGGTTTGCCTGTAGGGGCTGTAATACTCTAGTCTGGACTGCAGGACATTGGAATAAGCTGTAACTACAGAAACCCTGTCTCCCCCTGTGACAAAGTTGCCAACGCCCTCCCATGCCTGCTACTGCCCTCCTGATGGTAATTCTGCTGTTTGAAATGCTGTTAAGAGAGCATTTATGTTATGATTGTAACCCTGCCTCTGTCCACCCACATTACTTTAACCCCACCCATCCCTCATGTAACTAGCCTTATCCACACCAAAATTCTAACTCTGCCTCCACAGCCTGCTTTTTCCCCCTCCGTGCATCCCAACAGCAAACTCTTAGAAGAGTAGGGCAGCGCAATGGTGCAACATCCCTGTGCTGCTGCCCCTGTCTTGTTCGTGGACTGCATACAGGAGGGTCCATAGACACAAATTGGAAGCATGGCAGCAGGATCTCCTGAGACAGAGTGAAGAGATGAGGTACCAGTCTGACTGAATGGGCTGCTTCCAATGAACCATCAGCCCCACCAGAGTTTGTGAGGGACAAAGTTTGTGAGGGACAAAGGAGGGCAGCGTACTATGTTTGTGCATGTATAAGGCATTGTATGTGTGTCTATACAACAGTGTGTATTAGTCCATGTGTGTGTCTATTAGACAGTGTGTGTGCCAGCGTATGTATCTGTATATGTATATCAGTGTGTGCTAGTGTATGTAATCATCATGTATGTCAATGTATGTATTAGGGAGTTTGTGAGTGTGTAGCTATGGGGCAGTTTGTGTGTGTGGGGTACAGTGTATGAGTATATTTGTGTATGTTGATGTATGCATGTATTTAGCAGTCTTTGTAAGTACATTACAGTGTGTGTGTACATGTGTATGTATATAATAGGCTGTCTGTCTGTGTGTAAGTATTTGTCAGTGGGTATGTTTGTATGGATGTATTGGGAAGTGTGTATATTGATGTACAGTCAGTGATGTATGTATCACAAGGCTAACAAGGCTAACCCAGGCGGATGCCTTGTTAGTCTCATGTACTGGGGGGCCCAAGAGCTGGCCGGCTGGTCACATTTGATTTCCCCTTCCCCCAACGAGGCTTTTGCAATATATAAAGGTATTTTTTCTGTACGATTTGTAGCCAGCAGTGAGTGAGTTACAGTCAGAGTATTTGAGATGTCAGTGTATTTGAGACGGTGTGCCTGTCAGGGAAAATGTATGTTGGTTAAACAGTGTGTGTCATTGATTGTATTTTTCAGTGAGTGTATGTCAGTGCATGCATCAGTGAGAAAGTGTCTGTCAGTCAAAGTGCGTGCAGCCTTTACAGGAAGGGGTGGGGCAAATTTAAATTTGGTAGGTGCCCAAATTTCGTCCTGCCTAGGGCAGCACAAATCCAAAATTCACCACTGTGTACCATAATTTTTAGGGGAGGCACATGGAGGGCCAGAGACAAAAGTAGGGGGGCACATAATACCTGGTGGAGGATTCATTATTTTCCACCAGGGATTATTAAAAAAACAAACACATTACCCTTGATACAGTGCCATAGTTGCCAACATTTGAAAAAAGATTTCCAAGGACATTTTCCAGCACAGCTATCAATTACTGTCTGGGTATAATATCCCTGGACAGTCAGTGCTCTCTGTATAATACAGGGTTGTGTGCATAATAAATTGGGACACTCAGTGCTCCCTGTATAGTGCTGCTATCTGTATAATACAGGTCTGTTTGTGTATAATATCCCAAGACAGAGAGCAGCACTATACAGGAAGCACTGACTATCCCGGGTTATTATATACACACAGATCTGTATTATACAGATAGCTGAGCATATACCCCATGTCCCAATCTCTAGACTACTAGTACCTGTCAACAGCAGCTCCCAGACGCGTGTAACAGGGCTAAAGTGTGCGGCAGCTCACACAGATGATTCAGCGGTAAAGTGCACTCGCAGGCAGAGCCAAACTGGGAATCCCTGGGAATCCAAAGCAGCCCTGGAAAAAAAATGTATGCCATTCCTACAAGTCAATATATATATATATAGTACAGTAAGCACACAAGCTCACTGACATGCGCAAAAAGGCTTACTGACAGACAAAACTCTCTGACTCACACACAAGCTTACTACAGACAAACTCACTTGTATAAACAGAAGGCTCACTACAAAGAAGTTCAGGGGGACACACAAGCTCACTAAAGACAAGCTCACTGACACACACATGCTCACTAAATAGAAGCTCACTGACACACACAAGCAGTACTATTTTAACAGAGTTAAGGGCCCTGGGCAAAGCAATGCACTGGGGCCCTTCCTACACAACAACTCACAGGAATTTTAATTATTGCGGAGTCCATACACACACACAGACTGCTGAGTCCACACACACACGCAGACTGCTGAGTCCATACACACACACACACAAACAGACTGCTGAGTCCATACACACACAGACTGCTGAGTCCATATATACACACACACACACACAGACTGCTGAGTCCACACACACACAGACTGCTTGAGTCCATACTCACACACACACACACACACACACACAGACTGCTGAGTCCATACACACACACACACACACAGACTGCTGAGTAAATACACACACACACACACACACATACAGACTGCTGAGTCCATGCACACACACACACACACACACACATACACACAGACTGCTGTCCATACACACATATACACAAACACACACAGACTGCTGAGTCCATACACACAGACTGCCGAGTCCATACACACTTACAGACTGCTGAGTAAATACACACACACACACACACACACACACACACAGACTGCTGAGTCCATACACACACACATACACACACACACACACACACAGACTGCTGAGTCCACACTCCACACACACACACACAGACTGCTGAGTCCACACACACACACACACACACTACTGAGTCCATACACACACAGAGACTGCTGAGTCCATACACACACAAAAGCTTTCTCACTAGCAGACACACACACAGACTGTGGAGTCCATACACACACTGCTGAGTCCATACACACACACAGACTGCTGAGACCACACACACACACAGACTGCTGAGTCCATACACACACACAGACTGCTGAGTCCATACACACACACACACACACTCTGCTGAGTCCATACACACACACTGACTCTGCTGAGTCCATTCACACACACAGACTCTGCTGAGTCCATTCACACACACAGACTCTGCTGAGTCCATACACACACACAGACTCTGCTGAGTCCGTACACACACCGACTGCTGAGTCCATACACACACACACACTCTGCTGAGTCCATACACACATACACACACACAGACTGCTAAGTCCATACACACACACACTCTGCTGAGTCCATACACACAAACACACACAGACTCTGCTGAGTCCATACACACACACAGACTCTGCTGAGTCCATACACACACAGACTGCTGAGTCCATACACAAACACACAGACTGCTGAGTCTATACACACACACAGATTGCTGAGTCCATACAGACACACACACACAGACTGCTGAGTCCGTACACGTACACACACACAGACTCTGCTGAGTCCATACACACACAAACTGCTGAGTCCACACACACACAAACTGCTGAGTCCACACACACACACACACACACACAGACTGCTGAGTCCATACACACACACACAGACTGCTGAGTCCATACACACACACACAGACTGCTGAGTCCATACAGTGTGGGTGTGTGTATGGTGATAGTGTATGTGTGTAGAGTGTATGTGTATGGGGGGGCAGAGTGTGTGTATGGGGGGCAGAGTGTGTGTATGGGGGGCAATGTGTGTGTATGGGGGGCAGTGTGTGTGTATGGGGGGCAATGTGTGTGTATGGGGGGTAGTGTGTGTGTGTACACCCCCTCCCCTCAGCCTACCTGTCACTGGGGGTCAGGCAGCCATTTTCTGAAGCAGCATTACGGCAGGGGCGGGGCTTATCGGCGGGAGGCGGGGCTTCGTTTGGGGGCGGGGCCTGTGCCGGGGAGCCAATCAGTGCTCCCTCCGGCCACAGACAGCCCCCAGCACCTCAGCACTGCATTCCCTCGGGCTGTAACAGGCTGTTACAGTCCGCAGGAAGCCCATGGCCAGCAAGTTGCTGGCATTTGGGGGGGGGACCCAAGAGGGGGCACAGCATGATGTAGGCCTAGCGACGCCACTGCATACATTGTATAGCTTATATCATGCCTGACATTGAGCACAGCTTATATAAAGGACAAACCGGTGAATTGTACTGTGTATATTTTCTAATAATAAATGCTGCAAATGGATGCCGCACGGGAAGTCATAAACCGATATGGCTGTGTGGCTAGTATCTGAGTGGTGAAGAATTGTGGGGATTTACTGGATCTCCTGTGTGCTATGAGCAGACTAAACACCACTAGGGATAATCACACAGCTTAGTTTAATCAGACATCCCAGGCACCTATTCACTTTTCTATTGTTTTTATTAATATTCATTTATTAACGTGCTTCATTTGTCAATATTTAATAACATGTAATGACAATCCACAGTGTTTTCTCCTTTTTTCTTTACATTAGTGCAGCTACATGTGGCATTCATAACAGCTTGTTTGGGTTCTGGGAAAGCTGCAATTAGTTCATTCATATAATCATCAGCGAATCTGTATGCATGGAATCTGCAGTAGGGCTTTTATTACCTTACACATGTCACTGAATTCATGGATGCTACAGTCTGTGCTACGCAGTAGGAACTGACAGCTGTACTACGAATAAACCCCGACTGCACAACGGTTTATGGGATATGCCTCATGTTCCCTTTGAAAACAATGTTTGCACCAGCTTTTCTCACTGCAGAAGCTGCAAATAGTGTCTGTTTTCAACAAATGCAGGAACATTTAATTAATATGTATTTTAGTCTCTATATTATTCAATAAAAATGGTGCTCAAACAATCGTGGGTTGTGCCATGTCTGGGTATGTAGGCTGCAAGCTATATATATATATATATATATATACATATAAATACATGTAAGTGAAACTGTAAAACATCTTTAGTTCTGCATGCCTATCTGCAGTGTTTATATTGTCCACACATTAACACACCTTTTCATTAACCTTCATGTACTGCAATATGAGTCTTTAACCCGTGTTTGACTATGTCAATTACACATTTGTTTAGTGTACTGCAGCAGGGGCTGACTGAGAGCTGCACCGTCATGACTGCTACAGCCGCAGGGCCCCTAAACAGGGCCAGGGGTTAATCCAAGCAAGAACAGTGTTTTGATAAAACACATTGGTTTTAGATAGTGTAACCCTTACAAGCATGTAGCATCCTCAACACGGGTTTAGAGGCTACTTGTGGGGTTGTATGTGTGGGATACTGCCTGTGGTGTTGTGTTCCTGTATGTCAATGTGTTGTGTAAGAATTAATAGTTTGTCTTGTTTTACTTATTAAACAGTGCTGCTGAATATGTTGGTGCTATATAAGTAATTGTAATAAGTGTGTGTGTGTGTGTGTGTGTAAGCAGGCTGTATGCAGTACTGCGTGTGTGGAGATGCTGCTTGTGATGTGTTTGTGTGTGTGTGAGTAGGGAGGCTGTATGTGGTATTGCATGTGTGGTGATGCTGCTTGTAAAATTGTGTGCATACAGTAGTGGGCAGTATTGGGTACAATAAGGGCATAGGTACTGAAGTGGTTGCTGGAAAAGATAGGGGCTATAGTAGGTGGGGGGGGGTATTTGGTCTGCAATATGTGCAGGGTGGCATAGAGGCTGTAATAGGTGAAGGGAGAGATGGGGGCTGTAGTGGGTGCTGGGGGTGCATTTTGTTTAAATTTGAAGCAGTGGAATTGAGGCTGCAGTAGGTGCAGGGAGAGATGGGGGCTGTAGTGAGAGGCTGTAGTGGGTGCTGGGGGTGCATTGTGTTTAAATTTGAAGCAGTGGAATTGAGGCTGCAGTAGGTGCAGGGAGAGATGGGGGCTGTAGTGAGAGGCTGTAGTGGGTGCTGGGGGTGCATTGTGCCTAAATTGGAAGCAGGGGGATTGGGGCTGTAGTAGGTGCAGGGAGGGATGGTGGATATAGTTGGTGCTGGGGGTGTATTGGCCTAGCCATTACTGCCTTATAGATACTATTATAGTATTTTATATATATATATATATATATATATATATAATACTGTTCTCTACTCGGATGTCCCAGGTTAAAAACATTACCCTCTGCTATCTCAGTAGTTTGCATAATACACCCCCTCTAGAACGCATTACTTGAACTTTAAGATCTTGAAGCCAATAGCTGGGAAAACAAGCATCCGCTGCAGTGTTCCAAGTGACTCATTCTGCTGGAAGCCTCCAAATAAAGTCAATAGGAAATTCCATCACTGAGCAGCAGCTTAAGGGGGTCACAAAGTTGACCCTTTGTCTGCAGTTTCTGTTTAAGTCTGGCTCTGACTAAACAGAAATAGCACAGGATTTATTTTTTTCAATGATTCATATTTCACAGTGATTTTCTGAATTAACAGACAGAGCGGAAAATGGTTTAAGATTAAAAAAAGGAAAGAAGGATTTTTATATTGTTTATAAAAAGGCACGCAGCTTGGGAGATATGCTTGTTTTATAAATCTCTAATTCTCTGTCATGTGATGACTTTAATGCAGCTTATTTAGGAACCATGTAAGGGCATTTAATGAGGTGCAGTTATAAGAGACCTCTCAAATGTGAAATTAAATGTTAAGAGGCAGTTTCCAGCTTTCTGATGCTTAAAGGAACACTCCAGGCACCCAGACCACTTCTGCCCATTGGAGTGGTCTGGGTGCCAACTCCCACTACCCTTAACCCTGCAAGTGTAATTATTGCAGTTTTTTTATAAACTGCAATAATTACCTTGCAGGGTTAACTCCACCTCTAGTGGCTTTCTACTACACAGCCACTAGAGGGCACTTACTGCTCTATAGCACAGGAAACCTGTGCTAGAGCGTCGCTAGACGTCCTCACGCTGTGTGAGGACCTCCAGCGTCGCTCAATTCCCCATAGGAAAGCATTGAAAAGCATTTTCAATGCTTTCCTATGGAGAGCTCTAATGTGCATGCGTGGCATTGCCGCGCATGCGCATTAGGTCTCCCCGGCCGGTGGGTGGGATCAGTCTCGCCCACCGGCCGACGTAATGACTGGGAGGAGCGGCAGCGAGCAGAAACCACCGCCTAGGGACGTCAGTGGGGTCTCAGGTAAGTGACCTGAAGGGGTTGTCACCCCTTCAGCAACCGGGGATGGGGGTGGGAGGGAGAGGGGACCTGCAGTGCCAGAAAAACGGATTGTTTTCCTGGCACTGGAGTTTCCCTTTAAAGGAACACTATAGGGTCAGGAACATACACATGTATTCCTGACCCTATAATGTTAAAAACACTATCTAGCCCCCTTTGCTCCCCCTTGGCCCCCTAAATGTAATACAATCTTACATTTATTCCAGCCTACTGGTGCTGGCTCTGCCTCCTTGGCTGACATCATCAGAAGTGATAATCTCAGCCAATCACAATGCTTTCCCGTAGGTAAGTGTTTACTGCAAAAAGCCTGCAGGGACTGGCTATACTCACCAGAAGAACTACATTAAGCTGTAGTTGTTCTGGTGACTAGAGCGTCCCTTTAAAGGGCAAAGCATTTCTAAATTTTCAGCTCACTGGAAACAGCCATTTCCAGCTTCCATCTTTGTTTAGCTTGTGACTAGTAACACAATATCTCATAAAGGAACTTTAATGCCATACAGTTGTTATCTATTTTGTTATCGCAGTGTAGATATAATATAGACTGCACTACAGAACAGGACTCTGTTGTGATTGCCATGACAGTGTCCCTTTAAATATTTTATCAGCTGTGTATCATTGGGTAAGAGAAAAGACATATTTTCATTTTTTCAAACAATGTGAGGTTTCTACTCCTATCAAAAATGTTTAAATATAAATGGAATAACATGCAAATGGTATTGATTTAAAATGAATTCTGCCCTACAGCATAAATATCCAGTAAGCACATTTTGGAGTAGCTGTGAGAGCACTTCATCCCGTCATAATGGAAGGAGGACGTATCAATCAGTATCACTGCCTTGCACCGTCTCCCGAGGGTGACACGAAGCAAACCTTGTTAAACAAGCTTTCTCATTCAGCATTCATTATTGTTCCAGCTGACATTAAATATTTATTGTAAGAAATATACTCAGAGAGCCATCACAGAATTCAGTAAAGTACCAATAGCTTTTTCCAGCAGCATTTGTCCTGGCTGCAGGGTAAATCAGTGCAGTTATGGGGCACAAGCACTAAAAATCCCATGAATAATGCCTGGTTTCTAACAGAGTGTATGTAAATGATTTAGTGTGCACTTTCATGCAGGTAGAGGCCACTTCATTCCATCTGAACAGGTTCTTTAATTCAGTGTTTACTCTTATTTAACTTTGCTATTTATATACACTACATGGATGGTGGTGGGGCCTGGTGTGAGCAAATAAAAACACAGTTCATTCATTTTGGTAACTAAAATGTGTTTGTATTGATAGATATATTTATATTTCATTAAGTCTTTAAAATGTTCCATGGGGGTTAAACTTTGGGAAGCTGGATTTACCATTGAATTTACCTTCTTCAAATAACGATTGCTCTCATCGGTTTAAGCCTTGAGATTCTTCCTGATAGTCGCTACCTCTGAGTTGAACTCATTAGACACAAGGGTTGTAAGATTAGCCCTGCTCCCACTTGAGTGAATGCATCAATGTAACATTCTATAAGATCTAATTAGATCACACATCTCATTAAAAAATTGTAACGAGCTTTCATTTTGAATTATATGTTTCTAGGCAAATCAGCTCTCATTGATTGAACACCTATGAATTCTCTGAACAAGTATTCAAAGATGAACTGTATATATTTGGCAATATGTTTGAATGTTCTATTTTTTTTAAATGTGTTAATCGTGTTAACTTACTGTTTTGCAGACTGTGGACTAAACGTACACAAGCAATGCTCCAAGTATGTGCCAAGTGATTGCCAGCCTGACCTCAAGCGTATAAAGAAAGTGTACAGCTGTGATCTCACAACATTAGTGAAGGCACACAATACTCCTCGACCTATGGTAGTTGACATGTGCATCCGAGAGATCGAAGGAAGAGGTCTGTAATACACTATTCTTATATGTTTTATTGCATGTCTTGAGATATATTATACTGTTGGTTCCTTGAAATGTCGAACTTTTGCACAGTTACAGCATTAAAAAAAGTAGATGGTATTACAGTACTGTTAATATAATGGCTGCCATTAAGCTTAGACTTAATGGCTGTTTAGAGTTAAAGGGAACTTGCATTCAGTATGTTACGGACAAGAACTACTGTCACTCGTAGCCAGAGGAACCATTGGATTTACAGTCCAAAGCATCAGGAAGTCTGTTACCTGCAACCCTAACTTCCCCTTCAACCAAAGCTCCCTCTAGCCTTACGCACCCAAACAACTCCTAACATTGCTATTCACCTTACCTTCTTCCTTAGGAACACCGTTACTTCCTATTTGTATTATCATTGCGTAGTAATATCACTGTTACGTATTAGAACTAGCAATCTCAACAGCAAATGTTCACTTTACCCAGTTGTTGTTCCATTATACATGGAACGGGTTGCTAGCTACGTTCTTTTCTGCTGCTTAGGATTCGTATTTTACCTGGGTTGGAACTACATGTTTTGATGAGAAAGTGTGCTATGCTGGTCCTATTTGTACAGTACACGGATTGATGTAGAAAATGTCCATATGTTAGGACGGTGGATACGAACCTTTAGCATTCCAGAATCGTAAACCACATTTCCCAAGGTGTTCAATCTGTGCAATATGTGTGTGCATGTTCAGTATGTAGTCTTCAGAACTAGAAACATCAAAGGTTAGAGTCTGTGTGAGATCTGTAATGGCCATTAATCAATCAATGCATCATTGATTTCTGTGGCTTCTCTGCCACTTTACAATGTTTCTAAGTAAAAAAAATAAAAAATCTTATAGATCTAGACCTTGAAAATAAGATAAACTCATAATTATTGTTGGGAAAAGTAAACACATTGTGTGAGTCATATTGGAGTGTGTGACTTTGATCAGTGCTGTTCCTTGTCTTCTTTTGTCAGTGAAAACCGATATGGAATTATATTATTTTACACTATAAAAACTATACTACAAGTGGCAAGTAGGGCAATTGGAATAATTCAATTGTGAGCATGATCAAATTATGTGGCATACTCTATCCGAGAAAGTTAGAGATTTTTCAATTTGTGCCCAACTTCTAATGAGCCCGGCAGTATGAGTTAGTTGCAGTAGATTTTTTTGCAACTGACTTGCTTTTAGTGAATAGACAACTCTGATTTTTTTTTTTTTCCTCCAATATGTCTTATTTTATTTTCTATTATTATACCCAGATCAGAAGTTAATTTTGTGAATCTTGACTTTTAGAACAAATCCTCCACTGGGTGTTTCCAGCCGATCCCCTGTTGCTCGTACTCCGTATTCACATTAGAGGGTAGAAAATATCTTTGTGTTTCAAAGGGATTCTTAAAGCATAAAAACAAACAAAAAAAACACTAAATCTTAATGTAGAGTTGTTGGTGCATAAAGCCTTTTCCATTTTCAGGCAATGTGAAACACTAACCTTTCTTCTAAATGGCAATATGTCCAAAACAACATCTTGTTTGTTTGTTTTATTATGTGTATAATTTTTACCTATAAAGGTGAATATAATTTATAGAGTAATTAGTCTTCATTACAATCACTGGTAATCGTGGCTGTACTTTCAAAGCGTGGCTTTAATCTTCGCTCACATTTTATCCCACCTCATTAAGCTTTTTTTCTTCCAGGTCTGAAGTCAGAAGGTCTCTACAGAGTTTCAGGATTTACTGAGCACATTGAAGATGTAAAAATGGCCTTTGATCGAGGTGTGTTTCTGCACAGAGCAATTTTCAGATTAGAAGTGACATATGATAAGTGGTTTGTATGCACGAGATGGTAGCACTGAGTGATAAATATCTGATTTCCAGAACCTGTGATAATCAAAGACAGACAACATATAAATAATCCTTCTGTTTGTTCTACGGCAAGTTGTAACCACAACTTAAACTGTAGAGTTCTTTTTATTTATGTACCACCAGTGATGAAGGCATTTAGAGTCTAATTTAGAGCTTCATTGGGCAATTATTGGACTAATCATTTAATATCAGATTGTGTAGAACAACCAGGAGCAGGTAAGTAGATGGGTGTGTTAATGTAAAACGTAGTCCCTAGTCACATATACACTAGAAAAAATAGTGCAACACTGTATATCCCGATAAAATTATTTCAACAGCAAAAACATTGATTTATGTCACATATTTCACCAAGTGAGGGTTCTTTGTCCAGTTTATATTATGTTGTAGTAGTTTCCAAAGATTATCTCTCTCTCTGCAATTATGCCTCCACAGTGCATGCTCTGCTATTACTGTGGCAGAGAGCAGGAGAACCACTTATGGGAGAGTCCCCTACTCTGGCATGTCACTCAATCTTCAGCATACATGTATGCCACTGGTATATTGAAAGCACTTTCTGCTTTTTAATCTAAACATAATTTTGGAAGGTCAATGACATAGAGCATAGATAATCATAACTTAAAGGACCACTATAGTCACCCAGACCACTTCAGCTCAATGAAGTGGTCTGGGTGCCAGGTCCCCCAGGTCTTAACCCTGCAGCTGTAAACATAGCAGTTTCAGAGTTTACATTGCAGGGTTAATCCAGCCTCTACCTGACAGACGCTAGAGGCACTTCCCCGACGCTCAATGCGAAAATCGCATCGAGCGCGCAGAACATACGTAGGAAAGCATTGAGTAATGCTTTCCTATGGGTGGTTTGAATGCGGGAGCTGATGTCGGAGGGGGAGGAGAGGTCACCAGCGCCAAGGGAGCCCAGCGCTGGATTAAGGTAAGTGGCTGAAGGGGCCCTGAGGTTGGGGGGGACCTAAGGACTATATAGTGCCAGGAAAACGAGTTTGTTTTCCTGACACTAAAGTGGTCCTTTAATATTTAAGGTCCAAAAGGTTACACTGTAACGTATGTATTCCTCAGATTTAAATTTTGTCAAAGGAAGAGCTGTTACTCCACTCAGATGCCAATGTGCTGGCAATCAAGTCACCATATAGACACCATAGGGGTGGTTCTCAATATTCTGGGTAGACTTCACAACCAGGGTCAATTGTGCAGGAGGTAGGGAAGTGGGGGTAGATGTTAGTGTGATATCTGCCCTGGTTGTGGCAGCGGAGGTGAGTATTTAATAATATATCCTAAATATATACATATTTTACTTTTATGATAAATTATGCATGCATTGATTATTGAGGTGTTATCACCTTAATTTGGTGACATTTCACCTTGTAGTCTCCTGATTAAATAATATCTCTGAGCTAAACATAAATAAACTCACTTTCCCTGCAGTTCTAGGAACAGCACTGCTACCTTCCTGGCATGCACAGAATAACCTTGGTTATCTATCAAATTACGTCTTTCCTAATGAAGCGAAAGTTCCTCTTTGAAGACACAGACAAACGTATGGGTCTATCCCATGTATAGTGAATAGACGCAAGTCGTTTTAACATTTTGTGTTGAAACATTTACTGTCTGTAGAGCAGTGCAGCTCCTTAGAGAAAAGCATGTTGACAGTAGTTGTTCGATGAAAACATAGATGAGGCCAATACACACAGATTTTGCAGTACAGTTACCCTGGGTGTACAGCTTTTCAGATATTCCATTTTTAATACTCTTATATACTTACACTGATTATTGATGGGTAGAGTTACATTGCGCAAAAGCAACACACTTTGGGGTCATTATTGTCCTATCCAAAACACTAAAACTTGGTTTAGATTCAAGAGCAGAGCAATGATGAAGCCATGCTAAAATATAGACCTAGATTAGTTTCCATTTCGACAAAAGACAAGCGCAGTCTGCTCAGTGGAGCAGAAAATGTCTCCCTAAAATATTTATAAAGACACTTGTTTGAGAAATAGTTTTGGATTTCACGAGGAGACTTGCAGTAAATCCCATTATTGACTGACCTGATCAGCATTAAAAAATATTTATAGAGTGTAAACACCCAAAAAATAACATATTCTATTATTAACATAGAACGTAAAGTTAATTGTATACATGCAACATCATATAAAGACAAGAACTAAGTTCTGAAAGTACATCAGTGTGTATTTATACAATAATCCATTGCTGATCGGTCACCTAGTCAGTCTGTACTGGTGAACTATGTTTCTTACTCATCTAATTTTGTACCCTGTGCTACATAATTGACCTTGAAACATTGGTATTGATTTCAAGAGGTTCCATTAATTTCAGCAAATTGTTTTGTTCATTATATTAATAAAATTTTGCAATCCGCTGAAAGGGACACTATAGTCACCAAAACAATTTTAGCTTAATGAAGCCGTTTTGGTGTATAGATCATGACCCCGCAGTCTCACTGCTCAATTAGGAGTTAAATCACTTTGTTTATGCAGCCTTACTTACACCTCCTTGCATGTGACTTAAACAGCCTTCCTAAATGCTTCCTGTAAAGAGTCATCTAATGTTTACACTTCATTTATTGCAAACTCTGCTTAGAATTTCATATCCCCTGCTCTATTAATAGCTTGCTAGACCCTGCAGGAGCCTCATGTATGTGATTAAAGTTCAAATTACAGAGCAGGAGATAAAAAGTTTTCAAGTAAGTTACATCTGATTGAAAATGAAACCAATTTGTTTTCAAGCAGGCTATGTCAATAACAGCCAGGGGAGGTGTGGTTAGGGCTGCATAAACAGAAACAAAAGTGCTATAACTCCTAAATGGCAGAGAGAGTAGTGCCCCTTTAAGTATGGGTATTTTGCTGCTCTGCAGAGATTTATGGGGCTCGTGCAGCTTTTTTTATAGACAGTTGTGGGGGGAAAAAGGAAAATTGATTGGCTGGGAGTTCTTTAATGGGTTCAAGTCGACCTCCCTGTAGAAGGATCAGAGCATGAGAGTTTGTTGCAAAAGAAGGAAAGGGGAGAATATCTTTATAATAATATAAAATTATACATTATTTTCATAGTCCATTAAAGAAATAAAAACCTATCTAGAAAGTCCCTATAATTGGTTATTGCAGTTACACAGTTGATATTATATGTTCCTCAAAAATACAGCTATTTTGTTATTATAGCTGTAGTATAGAGATTATGAGCATGTATACAGTATATTTTTAGTAGTTTGAACATAAATACTGCAAGTAACTCTAATGAGGCTGATTATTTCACATATTTGATATTACACTTATTTGTGCCACAGCTTGAATAACCTCCCTTTACACTGTTTGGTAGATAAAACCCCAATGAAATTATGCTTGTGAATACCCTGCAATGCTGCAGATCTCTTGTCTGAAGTCTTTGCAAGCCCTCCCATTCTTACCCAGTCTAGACTTTCTGTGCTAACCAATCACAGGCGTTGCCTGTCTCTTGCGTTTAGCTGCACTGAGCTAAAAAAAACAAACAACTGGAAATAACAGAACCAGTTGTCTGATGCCAGAGGGTGTTAATTTATAAAATTACAAGCTATATTGAAGTCTTATATATTGAAAAAGAGAACATGCTGTTCACACATAAAGCACTTCAGAAAGCTAAAGTGCTTGAGGGGTCTGGAGTGTCACTTTATATTCCATTATGGATATTCTTCCTGTCTGTCATCCCATTTTTTACTGAGGATAGGGAAAGCAAATGTAAACATTTTAAATCATATTATTTTAATTTTTAATTTAATAATTTGATATTAAAATGTGGATGTTATACTTGTCTTCCTTACCTTATTGGCTGTTTATTGTTTATCCGGATTTCTGTATTTGTTAAAGCTTATCTGTTATCTTTAACTCCGGCCTGGCCTGGACTATTCTCTCTCTCTATATATGTTAGGATTTGACATCTTACCGGGTCCACTGGTCCCCACCTCCATTACAGCTACAGGACAGCTGAAAGTTCCCTGTCTGAGCTAAAGGTGCAACCGTGCAAGCCTTATCTCATTGGCTGAGAGTGATCAGTTGAAACTATAAGCCAATGAGCTAAGCCTGTACCACCTTGTTTAGCTCAGATACAGAGTTTCCAGCTTGGTGGACCCCAGGTCAGAAGTCAAACCATCATCTACAATGAGTACTTTGTAGTGGTTATGGTGTTTAGAGTGTTCCTTTAAAACAAGTGCAGATGTTTGCTCCCCCCGTATACATACAGATTATAAATATAAACACTTGTCACATGTGATGATTGATTCAATTCTTTCCCGTCCTGCCTTGGAAGTGTTACATTATAGTGACAAAGAGTAGCCATTTCCAATATTGACTATCCCAACATATAAAGCAGATGCAGCATGTTTCGGTTCCAGCCCCAGACTGGTACTCATCTAGTCGGCTTTCACTTGTCTCATATTGACCTAGTCAGTTCACAGAGAAATTAAATCCATAGAACAAAAAACATTTAATGTCTTTATAGATACAGCTGGTGTTCTTGTTCCCAAAGAGGTTTTATTGTTCCAGGCAGTGCGGTTAAAAGCGTTACGAATAGCCCAGTGTATTATTATTGTTGCTATTAAGAAATAATCCAGACAATATTCTCTGTAATGTTTGCTTGTTGTCGGAGCTAAATCCCAGACTTTCACCAATGTCAGACCATTTGAATTAATCGGTAATACACAGAACAGGAGATGTATTGATCTTTGTCTTTTGATGATATCACAGCTGGGAAGGAACGGACTGTGAATAAGGAGAGGAGAAGCAGAGGAGCAATACATGTAAATAATTAATATATATCTATTCTATGATCTGCTTGTTATATCAACAGACATATTATATTTTCAGACATTGTATTCCATAGTGTGACATCACACTGTAATACAAATTATAACGCACAGTGCAATGAGTCATTGGGAACCATGAAATCTTAGGACACTAGGTTAGTATGTGTCTCACACTTTATGCCTTGTTTGGTATATTAGCAGATGAAGTGGGATAGGTGTAGCCAAAGATGGTAATTCCTACCAATCTCTGTCAGTATTTGTGTTACTGCTGCATAATAATCTTGACGTTTTACCATTCGATCTTCAGTTTCACAAAGTGTCTTACCCAATATACCTGCATGTATTCACTCTCTCTGTGTATGGGAATATATTTCCAACTTTATTGTTTTGTTGTAACATCATAGACTTCCAGGGCCAGACTTGCAATGAAAAGCATTGGAAAAGAATTCTATACCAGCCCCACAATGCATTGTGCCAGGAATAAATAGGACTGGTTATCTAATTGACAACTAAATTGCCCATTTCTGTTGATATCTGCACTTTTTGTAAAATTAAATAAAAAAGAGGACACACTCGTACAAGTATACAAGCTTTAGGTGTTTGTGGTTTTCCTTAAATCTGCTACAACCCAATATCTGAGATATAACTAACTCTTCCTGGATACAACTGAGATAGAAACAATATACATAGTATAGTAAGTAATTTCAGTAATTTGCTATGATTTTTAATATAATGTTAACTTCTTTATCCTGTATATTAAGCAGCTATGTGTGAAAAATAAATGCAAATATAGAAATCAAGATGCATTTATCCTGCAACTAAGTGCCTCCATTTTGGCTCCCTGTCAATCATTGTTAGAAGTTCAGGACTTTTTGCATGTATTGTTTGTTTTAGTTTATGGTACGCTATGATGATGCAGTATGTTTGTTCTAGTGTATGTTTGTTCTTTGTAATTCAATAAAATCTGAAAATAGTGCATGTTATCTTTTGTATATGTGAGAATGTTTTATGGTTTTCTTACTTTTGCAGATGGCGACAAGGCTGACATCTCCTGTAGCACATACCCTGACATAAACATAATTGCAGGTGCTCTCAAGTTATATTTCCGGGACTTGCCTATTCCAGTGATAACCTACGACTCATACTCCAAGTTTATAGAAGCATCCAGTAAGTCTATGCACGTTAATATTTAGTATCAGCAGTTGTTACATAACTGAGTGGGAGGGAGTGTGCACAATATATTGAGTTAATAAACTACATTTAGACATATTTGGGTTGAAGGAAAATCTCTCACGATGTTTTGTAAATAACCTCAGATGTAATATAAATAATAAATCCTAATTAGTTAGCTGTTAGTTTTCCATTTATAAAAGTCCCAAAAACCATCCAGGTCACCCAATCCCATGTGCTGACAGTTTTTCTACAGAGCATGTCTGAAGACGTTATCCCTTCAGGAAATAAAAAATGTCTTCAACCATCTCTATACAAAGGAATCCAAGACCCCATGTTTGACCGCAAATAATGGGTGACCTTGTTTCAACTGCAATTGCAAATGTCATGCTTAAAAGAGGTGCATCAGAACCAAATCTCTTGCAAGCACTTCCCACCATAATAGTGACATTAGCAGAATGGGACAAATCAAGAGAGTTCTTATGGAGCTCTCACACAGTTCTCTAGCCATGTCCATTACTGTTCTTCCATTTTTTTTATTTCAGACTTTAATTATAGAGTATGGGTTTGATGTGGAATTATGTATTTAAGTATGTTGCGTAATGGTGGAGGTTTGATGTAATTCTCAAATCTGGACACCCAATACACAATTCCAGGAACAGCAAATTATTCTTACATATAAGTACGGTTTTTAAAATCTACTTTATAAAATATTGCACGTCGATAATTGCTATAAAGAAACCTGTAGAAATCGAAATAAGCGCTCACTACAAAGAGGAGAGATGGGTATGTACATACACAAAGTAAAAAATAAAAGGCGGTATCCTACTTACAATATTCCGAGCAATGGCCGGCTCGGGCGTGGAGAGCATTGGTGGTATTATCTCCACCTATGATATTCAGGATACGCCTGGAAATGATGACAGGAATGTGATGAATAAAATAAAAATAATAAAATGAAGATATACCTTTAAAATTATAAATACTTTATTATTAATAAAAATAATATATATATATATATATATATATATCTATATATATATGGTAAATTTGGAGAATAGTACCAGTACCAACACTTTATTTGATTATTTCTATATTATTTTATTCATCACATTCCTGTCATCATTTCCTGGCGTATCCTGCATATCATAGGTGGGGATAATACCACCAACGCTCTCCACGCCAGAGCAGACTGAATATAAACTGATGGAAATATATCTTCTGTTATATATCACCAATTTCTGTTCAATCTTATTGTTTTTGGGGCGCGGTTCATCACCCTGTTTGCTATTATCTATAAAGAAACCTATATCTACCATACATGCTTTATTGAATGCTACTTCTGACATTTGTATCCTCCCATGTGTTAAAGCATGGGAATGGAATTTTACCAATCTGAAACTGAAACAGAATATCATAACATTTAAGGACTTTGTGTACACGCTTAATTTACTAGTTTAATATAGTTTCATTATTGAGTAAAATTAGTAATATCCCTTTGCCTTTATCCCTACCTATCCAAACTTTTTTTTCTTTTTTTTTTTTTTAAAGAAATTCTGAAAAATAGTCAGTATTTTCTTTTTGTCTTCAAATGAGATTTGTACATTGTTTGAATTGTAGACCGTAAAGTTATATTATGTATTATTATACTTCATGACTTTGGAAATGACCAATAAAAATGTAAATTTCAAATAGGTGCATCAGAGACAAATAAAAAGGGTTTCTCAGATGCTCTCATTACATAGTTTTTTTTTTTTCCTTTTAAACGTTGCCGTATTTCCCCTTTTACGTATGTGCCGTATCCAACAAGCCACATACCAGTCAGTGGTTGTTAAATTCATGACAATATGCATATGGGCGCATCCATTACTCAGTCGCAATCGGTGGCTACATTGAAATTGTAGCGTTGTGCTTCTGCGGTGCGAACTGATTTTTTTTGTCCTGTGTGTGACATGCAGTTTCCCTCATAAACTACATTTATTATGATTGATGTGTAGTTCTTGGCACCATGCATGGCCTTGTCATATAATTATCCCTTAACAAGCAGAGAAATAAATACATAACAACTCTAAACAATGCTAAAATGCAACAGTTGTGTGTGTTTAACAGTATGCAGCGTTATGTGTGTAACTATAACTCCTGTCACGCACATCTGACCCAGATGCAGGTACATTTTGGGAATTATAGTCACATTACATAGTAAACAATATACAAAACGGCTATGCAGTAAGAGAAAACATTGCTGTCTTTCGGTCTTAGAGAAAAATAAAACCACTTTAACTCGGTCTTACAATTTAGGTCTCCAGAACCCCTCAATTTTCTTATTTTCCCATCAAACATGGTCACAATTTTGGGGTTTACTCACTAAACACCAGCTTATAATGATTTGACAGCTAAATTGTAAGGTTTAGGCAACAATAGCTAATTTGAAAAAGTTGTCCAGCTCAGTTTTAGTCACCACCCGCTATTTTAACCTGAATTTTGTGGTTAACATTTATGTTCACTACAATTCAATACTTAGTCAATTAACCTTTATATCAATAAAACGAGTGTACATAAATTGCAGTTAGATACTCACAATCTACATGTCGTGTGCCCAGAAACTGGAGAACATTATCTGAATATACAGGTGCATCAAACCCTTGTGCTAATGGAAAGATAGAGGTTTGTTAGCTGATCATTTTTGCAATTCTTATTCCATATGTGCCAAGCCACACGTGACACAGGGGCCCGTGCTGCTCAGTATGTTACTCTAACGAGGATATTCACTAAGGTGAGAATTTAATGTGAATTTAAAGGGAATATCACATTTAAAGTCAAAATAGCCAAACTGGAAAAATTCTCTAAGTAAGCTATTAAATTTCAGTCACTTTGAATTCTCATTTTAGTAAATAACCCTATAAATGTCTTTAAAGTGATATAGGTGTGTAAACTATATCCCAAAAGAACATGAAACATATATTTAATGAATTTCTAGAAATCGTCAGTCCAGATGAGAGGTTAGAGGCCGTACATGAAGCACTGATGCTCCTGCCTCCAGCACATTATGAGACACTCAGGTTTCTGATGATACACCTCAAAAAGTAAGTTGTTTTCTTGTTCCATCCTAGAATTCACAGATCTGCCAGCAATCAGCAGAACATATTGTGAAATAGTAAATGTGTGATCACCTAGTCAGCACTGCTTTTGTATTGTACTAGCATGGTGGATTGATCAACTGAACAATGTTTGCTAAATACTATAATTCACTATCAAAGATCAGTCTATTAAAAGGCCATTTCACTTACTAAGAGACTAAATCTGTGAGCTAAGTTTAAATGGAAATCAGCTTTCAGATGGACTTGTGGTACATGTGCCAGGCTTCATATGTTATCGTCGCACTGATGCAATATTAAATAAACTGAACTCCCCTTGTCATAAGTAAAAAATATATGCTTCACCAGCTTCAGCGTTTAACCCCTTAAGGACACGACATATGTGACATGTCATGATTCCCTTTTATTCCAGAAGTTTGGTCCTTAAGGGGTTAAATGGTAAAACGGACACCCCAAGCACCATAACTACTAAAGCTTATTGTACTTTTTATGGTGCAAGGAGTCCTCAGTTGAGAAAAAGGATAAATGAGTCATTTATTACACGTGAGTTTACAGAGGAAGAGGTTCTATTTCAACTGTCAAAAGTAAAGACAAATAAGTCAATGGGACCTGATGGAATACACCCAAAGCTATTAAAAGAGCTTAGTGGTGTACTAGCAAAACCATTAACAGATTTATTTAACCAATCATTGTTAACAGGTGTAGTCCCAGAAGATTGGAAGTTAGCGAATGTTGTGCCCATTTACAAGAAAGGTAATAGGGAGGAGTCGGGCAACTATAGGCCAGTAAGCCTTACTTCAGTAGTGGGGAAAGTGATGGAAACCATGTTAAAGGATAGGATTGATGAACATCTAAAAACACATGGATTTCAAGATCAGAGACAACATGGGTTTACTTCAGGGAGATCATGCCAAACTAATCTTATTGATTTTTTGATTGGGTAACTAAAATTATAGATCAGGGTGGTGCAGTAGACATTGCTTACCTAGATTTCAGTAAGGCTTTTGACACTGTTGCACATAGAAGGCTTATCAATAAACTGCAATCTTTAAGTTTGGATTCAAATATTGTTGAATGGGTAAGGCAGTGGCTGAGTGACAGGCAACAGAGGGTTGTAGTTAATGGAATATATTCGAAGCTTGGACTTGTCACCAGTGGGGTACCTCAGGGATCTGTACTTGGACCCATTCTCTTTAATATTTTTATTAGTGATATTGCAGAAGGTCTTGATGGTAAGGTATGTCTTTTTGCTGATGATACTAAGATATGTAACAGGGTTGATGTTCCAGGAGGGATAAGCCAAATGGCAAATGATTTAGGTAAACTAGAAAAATGGTCAGAATTGTGGCAACTGACATTTAATGTGGATAAGTGCAAGATAATGCATCTTGGATGTAAAAACCCAAGGGCAGAGTACAGAATATTTGATAGAGTCCTAACCTCAACATATGAGGAAAGGGATTTAGGGGTGATTATTTCTGATGACTTAAAGGTAGGCAGACAATGTAATAGAGCAGCAGGAAATGCTAGCAGAATGCTTGGTTGTATAGGGAGAGGTATTAGCAGTAGAAAGAGGGAAGTGCTCATGCCATTATACAGAACACTGGTGAGACCTCACTTGGAGTATTGTACACAGTATTGGAGACCGTATCTTCAGAAGGATATTGATACCTTAGAGAGGGTTCAGAGAAGGGCTACTAAACTGGTTCATGGATTGCGGGATAAAACTTACCAGGAAAGGTTAAAGGATCTTAACATGTATAGCTTGGAGGAAAGACGAGACAGGGGGGATATGATAGAAACATTTAAATATATAAAAGGAATCAACACAGTAAAGGAGGAGACTATATTTAAAAGAAGAAAAACTACCACAACAAGAGGACATAGTCTTAAATTAGAGGGACAAAGGTTTAAAAATAATATCAGGAAGTATTACTTTACTGAGAGGGTAGTGGATGCATGGAATAGCCTTCCAGCTGAAGTGGTAGAGGTTAACACAGTAAAGGAGTTTAAGCATGCATGGGATAGGCATAAGGCTATCCTAACTATAAGATAAGGCTAGGGACTAATGAAAGTTTTTAGAAAATTGGGCAGACTAGATGGGCCGAATGGTTCTTATCTGCCGTCACATTCTATGTTTCTATGTTTCTATGTTTCTATGTTTCTATGTCTACGAGTACAATATCTTTTTTTTTTTTTTAAGCTGTCTTCAGACCGTTTCATATAAACCGTGATTCCTTGACACTCTAAGGTGTGAGCATGCATTGTGTGTTAGGCTGCCTTGCTGCCTCTTCATCACCACCACACAACCGAATAGTTAGGTGGAGCTATTAGGGCCAAATCCTGCTTTAGCCTTGCACTCACTACCTACCATTAGCTCATCATGAGTATGTATTGCAGAGTAAACTGTAGTGGTTATGGTTTTATAGATTGTCCTTACAGTACAGTAGAGTTTGCTCCTATGTACTTACAGTTCAAAGCCTAGAAAAGTCCCTGTTAGGGAATTTAGTGTTGGTGAGTAGATGCAAATATATTTAGTGTGGATTTTGTTTACTAATTATTAGCAGCCACTGAATAATGTTTTCAGGCTCTCCCCTATTTTCCAGGCATGTTCTGGGGAACTGACCAATCAAAGTCTTCTTATTATTATTATATTTATATAGCGCCAACAAATTCCGTAGCGCTTTACAATGGGTGGACTAACAAACATGTAGTTGTAACCAGACAAGTTTGACGCACAGAAACAGAGTGGTTGTGGGCCGTGCTCAATGAGCTTACATATCATTGAAATATGTCTTTGCTGGTGCCACGAAATTGCACACCATCACAACCTTCCAGTACTTCTCAATAAGCCGGCAAGGCAGGCAGATGTGCTCTAGCCCAGTGCAGCTGTCTCTTCCGTTTGTGGAACATAAAGCACTTCAGCAAGTACTGGTCAGTGGGCAGTGTCAAGCCGACTTCAGGACCTCACTAGAGGAGGCTAAGGTGGAGTTTACACTCCCACTCCCAAGCAACACAGAGAGGCTGGACTGCAGGTGCCCATGGACTCTATTTTGATGCAAAATTATGTAAAACCCTTTTAACACCGATCAGAGGGTGAGTGCCAGGTGACCGCAGCCACTGTAACCACTTAAGTAAAGTGGTTATAGTGCCTGGAGTATCCCTTTAAGCAGGTCCACCGTGATGTTGTTAACTCTGTTTCCCCTTCTCTAATTACAGGGTTACGCAGAATGAGAAGGACAATCTGATGTGTGCGGAAAACCTTGGAATAGTGTTTGGACCTACACTGATGAGGCCTCCTGAAGAAAATGCATTCACATCTCTTAATGATATGAGATATCAGAAGTCAATTGTGCAGATCTTAATACAACATGAAGATGTATTATTCTGAATAAATGAAGGTCCGCCTCTTTCAGTCAGCGCTTTAAGCGGCCAGTTCAAGGCTGTGCAGATTTATACTGTAAAGTTCACTAGCTGAACTCAGAATTCTTTTGTATTGCAGGACACAGAACATGCCAAAATATTTAATATAACATGTGTCTCATAGACATATGAACATATCTCCTTTAAGAGAAGGGGAACATTTACCCTGAAAATGTTGTAGAACCTCCTTTACTGTATCCAAAAAGAAAAATGTATTTTTGAATTGAATTTTCAAATTCAGACTGAATGAAGTAATGTTGTCTAAGCATAGCTTTTTTTTTTTTTTTCTTAAGATTACCTGAACTGCTATCTTTGTACATTTTACTTGTTCATACTGACGTACGGAAATATTTTTATGTTTTATTTTGCAGTTGTGTAAAATGGTATATTTCACCAAGCAGTATGAAGTAAGAGAATATTAAGTAATAATTTACTTCATAGATTTATTCCTTCATGAAAAAAAAATCTAATAGCTTTCAAAATAATGTAATATCAGTGTGAGTTTAATTATAATTTTATATTTGACATTTTAAAGTATCATAGGGTTTTTCCACTAAACAAAGGAATTGTGGGGAATGAAACAAGATGGCCACTATAGAAATATAATAAGTTGGAGTTGAATACATTTTCCAATCAAGTTATTTTTACCTAAAATCTGCAATCTTAAAAGCCCAACAGGAACAACAGTGAGATATGCCTATGTGTATGCACCCATATATGTAAAACGCATAGGCAATCTATTTTGGATATACTTTAACTCTCTCTGAGTCATTCTTTTAGTTTTTTGTTTTTTTTTATATTCACATTAATCATGAAACATGAGCTTAGAATTGTATTGTTCCTGCAGTGGATTCAAATTTCAGATTTTGCGGTATCAAGTGGCAGAATTACCATATATCATTTCCCGAGAAGACTTACATACCACTTGGCATGCAACCAAGTTAGCTAAACATGTCCTAAAATCTGTAGTCCCCTTGTCAATTCTCCCCCCCCCCAAAATCCCTGTCTAGTGATAAATCCCTTGAATTAATTTTCAAACTTCTTTAATTAATCATTGGGAAAATGCCTCATAGTTGATTCTAACGGAATTTGCAAAATAGAAAGACTTTACTTTTTTCCCAAGAAATAGCTGAAATAACCACTTTTTTAAAATCAGCTTCTTGTCATAGTTATAAGAATTAAAGCACAATTGTTCTTAACTGCAGCTACAAAATAGCACACACGGTGTACAATCTCCAGTGCAAATGCGTGTCTTGTGCGTAGCACTTCAAAGCTGCAAAACGAGGTGGAAAGTTAGGAGAATAATCAGAGCTGCACCCACTGCTTCCTTCTTTGTGTTTTACATGATATTTTGGCTTATGCTGATGTCAGAATTACCATTACTTCTAACAACCACATAGGCAAAATATTCAATTTTTTCCAGTGTTACAGTGTTATTTATCTGAACGATCTTTAAAATGAAAATACCTTTTTTTCTTACCTCTAATTTTTTGTAAAGTAATCCATACAATATTATCTCCAAGCCATTTATTTTATTTACCAGTTAATAGAAACCAAGTCGGATACACAGGATACACTCTGATTTGTCTTTTCGACTCCCCTTTCAAACGTCAATATTTGTATTCACACCAAATTATTTTACACCTCATGATGTCATTTTTGCAGTTACTGCATTGCTACCAGGTGACAGTCTATTTTTCCTAGCCTTTACAATATTTTTAAATAGTGCGTATTCTGTAGGTGGACCTTGTACTTAGTTTACACAACGCATCATTGTTGTGTCACGGATCAGACAGAGTTCCCTAGTCTATTTTCTGTTTTTTTTTGTCAACTTTCCATTGAGTTACTCGAGCATCACCTTTTAAAACAGTAAAATCCCACATCCAGCTTATGCTTTTCTCCCACGCCTACAAACATACATGTACACATTTGTATGGCATACCCCTTTTAAATCCGTGGGTCCCTTTTGGTTTCTCCATTATCCAAAGGATAAGGCATAGATCTTCACAGTATTCTTGTAATTGCAATAAAACTGGAAGGTATAAATAGGAAATGGACCGGTTATTCAACTATCTCATTATTTAAACCCTTTTTTATTAATTTGTCTTGATTTTTTGGTAAATACCGTTTAACTAAATTGGTTTCTGTCTATATTGTAAGCTTGTGTACCACAAAGAAGAAATTGGCAGCCTTCCCCACCCTGCGCATGTGAGATAATATGAGGCATTTTATTTTTTCAACCCAATGCTTACAAACAAACTGACAGCAAAATTCACACCGTAAGGGTATGGTTAAGGGTAGTTGGGAGTAAGCATTAAGTTCCAGGGGACTGTAACACTATTTACCTGGCCGGAAAGGAATCTCACTTACAGTTTCGAGCATCTTGCACATCTTGCATCTCCACCATGACACCCCTAAACCTACCGTATGCAATAACAGCATGAAGTACTGCAGTATTGCTGGTGCTGTATTGGTGGCTCATCATTGTAAACGGCTTAATAATAACATCATATTCTTTATTTCAGCAACTTTATAATGATGGAAAATTTTCATGTCAATATTTTTGAAGGTGACATTTTTTACGTGAATCAACAGGCAGCAGGTCTGTCTTCGGGATAAATTGGTGCTTTCAAAGTTCTTGACATTGTCACAGTACTTTCTGTTGAGGGTACTGCTTAGTACTGAACGTTTGATGGTACACATGGGCCCTATTTGTTTTACCAGCCATATTTAGATTGGCAAATGATCTCTCATAGATACAAATGGTATTCACTTAAAGTATATTTTGGCTTCATACTTAAATGTGTAATGGATTTCCTGTTATCCACCTCCATAACATAATTGTATATTTTGAAGGACCGTGCTGGAAACGGCAAGGGGGGGGGGGGGGGGGGGGGGGGGGGGGGGGGGGGGGGGGGGGGGGAGGGGGGAGTGTATGCTAGATGGGGTATATCTGGCCTGTAATAGAAATTATGTTTTTGTTTTCGTACAATTTTAATGTAGTATGTTTTCCACATGCAGTGCATTTTTGTAATATATTTATCAGTACATTTGTATGACATATTGATGATATTCTGAGGTTGGCTTCCCAAAATGTAAATGTCCGTCTTACTAAATGTATCTGATTACAATAACTGCTTCCATTGCAGTGATCAAAATACCGGCATAGCACATTGTGAAGCCAATCTTCTGATTGCTACTTCTGTAAAGGAAAACCCTTTGTCCTTGTTTCTAATGCCAAGTGCATTGTATGACTATTCTGTTGTTCTGTACACATATTTGCCATTCGTGATATTTAAATCAATTGCTAACTGTATCTATCAGGTGTTATCCAAACGTTCTACGATTTCCCCTTTCGTGACTGCACTTCACAGAGAAAACAGATGCTCACTTCTTCTTTTTTATTATGAATATTATAGGGTAACATAAAACATTAACAAAGATATGTAAAACAATACAGTTTAAGTAGTTTAAACACACAGCTTCAGGAAGGTGTCTGACTGTACTGATTCATCATAATGTTTTCTCAGAATGGCCTTTTGTCCTTTATCGTTTGCTAGCGCCGACCAATACGTAGCATTTACTGACTAGTGAAATCTGTAGGCATGTAGCCAGCCATCACACAGATTTCCCTTTAGCAGTGGTATGCCTATCTGGTGGAATTCTATAGTCACCGTCATGTTAAATAAATTTCAAATCTGGATTTAGCAGACAAAGCTAAGTTCTAAAACATTTAGAAATCAGAAAATATGAATACGAGTGCTTCATCATAAAGATTAAAGCCAGCATTCAGATGTATTGAACACCGCTGTGAACTAACACTCCTCAAACCTTTAAAACAATCTGCAGCAAATTTACATTAATTGTCAGTAGCGCATTGGCAGATCCAGGGGGGGAGTAGCGTAGATATAATTATCACTTTTACATTCTTCATTTGGTTAGATGGGGAAAAACTAAGGAACATTTCCAATAAACAGTGAATTGTCATGAGTTGACAGTAAAAATAAAAGCAACAAGTCAGTGATTTCCCATTTTTAACCTAAATGCTAAAGAGGTCAGGTCAGGTTATGACACGTCTGTAAATAACTCCCTAGATCTCATTGCTATTTTGCTTGGCCAAATCACGGTTTGCTTTATATTTATTTCAACCACTTGAGAACATCAGTAGCTACTATATATACATATACTGCGGAGAAAATCTTTCTCTTTAAATGCTAGAGGTACTAGTCTCCAACACTCACATCGGCAGAGAACAAGGCCTGGGGTAACAGTGCAGTCTCGGAAGGTTTACTCTAGATTCCTTTTCATATTTTTCAAAGTTTAGTTGGCTTGAATTTGCTTTTGTCATGAACTATTCTACTGCTGTTGTTATATTGTTTGTTGCTTTTTTTTCCAGTGTGCTTTTATAGCAAATTTATTTTGTGAAATTAGTTGAAATACTTGTAATTTATGAACATGTCAAGTCATGAAATTGAAACAATAAATATGAGGATATTTATATGGTTTGTTTTATTTCAAACGTTTAGCTGGATCATGATGTCCTACTGAAAGCTACAAGAACTACAGTGGTGCTCTGTGCCATCTCCTTTTTCTGCAGATAGACAAGTTCCATTAAATATTTATTATTATTCATACCTAATTATAGAGGCAGTGGCGTACTAAGGAGGGGGCGGTCCACCCCGGGTGCCACCAGGGTGGGGGTGCATTGGGAGGGGGCGCCGGCCCACCCATGCTGCAGCCGCCCGAGCGCTCTGTAGAGAGCCTCAGGCGGCTGCAGCTTTGCCCGGGCGGTGCGTCCTGAGGGCGGACCGCCCGGGCACAGCCTGAGGAGAGGCTGGCAGGAGGGAAGCTCTCAGTGGAGTCAGCGCTCCCTTCTGTCACTCCATCCCTGTAGCGTGGCCGAGCCCTCTATTGGTCCGCGGGTACAGGGAGCATCTGTCTCCTGTACCCGGCCGGACTAACAGGAAGTGAACACTGAGTGTGCACTTCCTGTTAGTCCGGCCGGGTACAGGAAACAAAAGCTCCCTGTACCCGC